GGGTTTAATTCTTTTTTTTTTTTTTTTTTAATATGCTGCTTACCTCTGAAGAGAGGGGATTTAATTCTACTGGTCGCTGTTTCTGCTGACTGCTCAAGGAAGCTTTTTTCCTTTTAAGTTTTGTGGTTATTTTTGTTATTTGTCATAATTTCCTAATAACTTTTCTATTGGAGTATAACACCAAAGTGATCAAATCATAAGTGTACTGCTTAAAGAATTATCTTACAGTCAAATACACTTGTCTTATTACTACCATTTCAAAAAATACAGCAATACCAGCATGCCTCTTTTTACCCTCCTAAGGGTGCTTACTGTTCTAAAACTGTGAATGTTTTGGGTTTTAATTTTTTTTTCTTTTAAAGAAAATTTTTTTTTCATATTTAACACTGAAATGTTTTAGATTTTATATAAATGTAACCATATAGTTTGTACTCTTTTGTGTCTGACTTTTTTTCTCACTATTATGTTTGTGAAATTTACGCATGTTAAAACCATGGGTGTTTTGAACTGTGTGTAATCATACAGTGTGTGTTCTTTTGTGTCTCACTTTTTCTTTCACCATTATGTTTGTGAGATTTATCCATGTTGTTGCCTGTAGCAGCGTTTGTTCATTGTTGTTGCTGTGTTGTATCCCATGGTATGCATATAAAACAGTTTATTTGTCCATTCTATCCATGACAGACAATTGGGTTATTTCCATTGTGGGCTATTACAACACTGCTATAAACATTCTTGTATGTGTTTTTTTGTTTGTTTTTTGTTTCTTTTGGTTTTTTTTACATATACATTTCTGTTCAATTGCTGGGTCACAGGATATGTAAATGCTCAGCTTTAGTCAGAATCAAACAGTTTTCCAAGAGATTGAGTCAGTTTATATTCCAACTGGTATGTATGAAAATTGTAGTTGTTCCACAGTCTCATCAATATATACTATTTTTCCCCAATTTAGCCATACTGATGGGTATGTCATGGTATTACATTGTGGTTTTAATGTTCATTTCATTGTTGGTTAATGAGTTTGGATGCCTTTTCATGTGTTTATTGACCATTCATTTTGTAGTGAGAATTCAAGTCTTTTGCCCATTTTTTTCTATTGGGTTGTTTGTTTTTTTCTTATTGGTATGTAAAAAGTTCTTTATGTATTCTGGAAATGAGTCCTTTATGAATATATTTATTGCAAATACATATTGCAAGTATAAAACACAAGTTCTTAATTTTAATGTAGTCCAATTTATCACTGGTTAGTGCTTTGGGGGCTTTTTTGAGATACCTTTGTCTATCCTAAGGCAACGAAGATATTATTCTATGTTATCCTCTGGAAACATTTTTGTTTTACCTTTCCCATTTAGATCTTCAATCCATTGGAAATTTATTTTTATGTATAGTAAAAGAAATAAGGATACAAAAAATGATATCTAGTTGACCCTACACCAGTTATTGAAGATTATTCATTTCCCCTTGCTCCGCAGTATCACCTCTGTCATAAATCAAGTATCTGTGTATGTACGGGTCTATTTCTGGACTCTGTTCTATTGGCCTATTTGTCTTTCTTTTCAAGAAACTATACTGTCTTTGTTGCCGTAGCTTTGTAATAAGGCTTATTATCTGTTATAGTAAATCTTTCAACTTTGTTTTTCTTCAGATTTCACTTGGGGCAAGGCTTGTTGGCTCATACCTATGATCTCAGCATTTTGGGCCAGGTGCGGTGGCTCATGCCTGTAATCCTAGCATTCTGGGAGGCTGAGGCGGGAGGATCACTTGGGCTCAGGAGTTCAAGACCAGCCTCAGCAAGAGCAAGACCCTGTCTCTACTAAAAATAGAAAAATTAGCCAGGCATTGTGGCATGCGTCTGTAGTCCCAGCTACTTGGAAGGCTGAGGCAAAAGGATCCATTGAGCCCAGGAGTTTGAGGTTGCTATGACACCACAGCACTCTACCCAGGGCAATGGAATGAGAGTCTGTCTCAAAAACAAAAAAAACTCTGAAGGAGACTTTTCTTGCTTTCCTTTTCTTGCCCAGAGTTAAAACCAAAATGGACACATTCTTTTGTTATCTTCTTTTGTGGGCTGGATTTTTTTCCTAGTTTACTCTAATTGAGTGTGTAGCCCTTTGAGGATTTGGCTTTGCTATAGATTTCCATTCCAGTTATTCTCCTCAAATGAGCCCAATGCCCTGTTTTCTGTTCTCCTAGGCTTTTGGTTACTAGGGATTGGTAAAAGATGGAAACCATCAGCTTCAGCTCCTGCATGCCTCCCTGGGTTTGTTTTTCTGTCTTTTCTTTGGCTTCTGAGGATTTCTCTAATTCTTTGTGAGCTCTACATTTAAAAGTATTTTTAAAATATATCCAGCCTTTTTAGATATACAGGCTTTCAGGATATCTAGTTGCTGGAGTTGCTGGAAACAGAAGGTATTAATTTCTTATATCATGCGGTTTCTAGAACATCCCAGTGGCACTTTTCGGGGCATTCCTATTTAGTTAATGTCCCTTTTTCCTGTGAAGGCCAGCCCTATCACAGTTCTCGAGATATGACCTGATTAGAATACAAGGTGATTGTTATTTTTCTTACTCTGTATGCACTGTGTCAATTCATGCAGCCTAGGAATACATCAGAATATTGAATATTGGGTTATTGTTAATTTACTTGGAGTTTTTGCCTCACTAAACATTTATAGATCTTTTCCATAGATGATTTTATTTGTTTTGAAACATAAATATATGACATTTTTAAAATTTTTGCCTCTCTGCACTGAGTAGGCACCTAGTAAATGAATGAATAACTTTACATTTCTCACTTTAAAAACATTTCCATATTAGATCTGACATTGTTTCAACTTAGAGTAATTTTGAATCCTGATTCTGTTATTCAGTATATTAGCTACACTCTGGGCATTGTATCATCTGTAAATTGGATATTTTCATTCAGATAGCTAAGGACAGAGCTCTGAAGCACTGAGACATCTTTCTAGGTTAATATTGATTATTTAATGATAGTTGTTTATGTGTTGGTTTTAGTTTTTTGACCAGCTATGAATATTCCTAAATATACTATTTTCCCACTCATTGTTTCATAATTGTCTAGCAGGTTAAAATGAGAAGCTTTGTCAGGTACTCTGAAATAGAGGGGTGGGCAGAGGAAGTACTTCATAAATTTCCCAGGCCAAGTGCCTGAAACAGCTCTGGCCTAAGGAGGAGGAACCTGTAAGGAGCTTTACTACTTTACCCTTTAACACTCTGGGCAGGTGCTGGTGGATGTGCCCTGTACCACAGACCGCCACTCCCTTCATGAGGAAGAGAACAACATCTTTCAGCGGTCGAGGAAGAAGGAGCGACAGATGTTGCCTATGCTGCAAGTGCAGCTTCTTGCGTGAGTAATAGATTGATGAAAACTAAGGAATTTGTGCCAGAGTACTCTAGTCATCTGGTCACCTGGGAAACTGGGGAACTGCAGGCTCTTGCCAAGACTGTCACCCATAGCGGGGTCGTCTGGCTGGGAATCTGCCTGGAGGAAACAGAAATCATGAGATCTTCCCTGGAATGTAAAAACCCTATCTGGTAGGACATACATACCAGGGTGGGCAGCACAGATTCACTCATGCTATTTTAGTGAGTAGCACATGTTTGAAAAATAGCTACTGAGCCCAAGGCTCTGTGGGGTTGGCATGAGGACTCAATCCATAGCCAGCATTAACAGTTTGGTCCATAACCAGAGTCAGAGCTCAGGGCATCATTTTAAGAAGACTTCCTAGCAGAGAGCTCATGGAGTAAGGTTGAGTTGCTCTCTGTCTTGAGAATGACTTTTCAGACAGTGTTGTTGTGAAAGGGACTTCGGAGCCTAGTAACCTAGCCACCTTTCCTGGGGTGGACTCCCCCTGTCTGTCTTTTCAGCTCCTTATGTTGCTCTTTGACTGCTGGGAAGCTTACTAGTCACTGCTTCTGTCTCTTTCTGGTTTCAGGGCTGGACTCCTTGCCACCAAACCAGGAGGCCATGTTGTCTATTCCACCTGCTCACTCTCACAGTTACAGAACGAGTATGTGGTGCAAGGCACCATTGAGCTCCTGGCCAATCAATACAGCATTGAGGTTCAGGTGGAAGACCTGGCTCACTTCCGAAGGCTTTTCATGGACACGTTCTTTTTCTTCCCATCCTGCCGGGTTGGGGAACTGGTAATACCAAACCTCATGGCCAATTTTGGACCTATGTACTTCTGCAAAATGCGTAGGCTGACATAGCATCACCTTTTCCCTGAAGGAGGAAGACAAAGGGTATATACTGTGTTGGAGGCACTGGAAACTGGAACCAGTGGCAGAGATGTACTCTGGAACCTGTCTCCATCCTGTTCGAGTTTTTCTACTGACAGTTTTCAGCAGTAGGAAGTAGGAGTTTTACTATCCTGCTGTCCAATTGTGGAGCATCAGCAGGTTTCTAATTCATTGATTACCACCCCGTCCCCCACAATCTCCAAGCCTGTGCTAAAGCTTGCTGTCCAATTGTGGAGCATCAGCAGGTTTCTAATTCATTGATTACCACCCTGTCCCCCACAATCTCCAAGCCTGTGCTAAAGTTTGCTGTCCCCTTAGGGGCTTAGAAGGGGGAGCCAGTGAGCAGTCTCACACTTTAATCTGTAAACTTGGGAAGAAGCATTTAGCCAATAAAATTGTTGAAGCTCCATAGATTTGGGGCTATAGTTGGGGGCTTCATGTCAGTCCAAATGCCATTAGTTCTATTTGTGCCAGCTGGTTACAGCTGAAGTGAGCTTCACCTGATCAATCTCGAACAGCCAGCAGGCCCAAACAAGCCTACCTAGTTTCTCCATATGGCCCATGATCTAATTTAAGGAACAAGTAACTAAAAATGTTAAGCCAATGCAAAATAATCTGCTTACTTACATTGAGAAAACTCTCCTGAGCTGAATAATTCCGGTTATTCTTCCTGCTGTCAGCAGCACTTCTGCTTAAATGTGACTGGGGAAGCTGCTTCTGCCACAGAGCTGTCATACTCTTTTGTGTGTTTCATCCTTTGTTCATTCGTCTAGCAGGTATTCCCTGAGCTCCTGTGTGACAAGGAGCTCTTGGAGATGTAGCAGTTGGGATTGTGGGAGATAATCAGGCTTCCTCATCCTTTGGAATGGCAACTCTACTCCTTTTGCTTTCTGAACACCTAGCAATCTCCTGATGTTTTGTTATATTCCAGATTTTTGTTCTTGTTTCTGGTCTGTGGCTGAGCTCTGGTGCCTGTTCTTTGGCTCACCCTCAATCTCTCAGAGCTCTTCCCTCGGCATCAAAGGGCTTCACTGCACACAGTGTGTGTTCAGGGGCAGCACTGCATCATGTACTGATTGCGTACTAATTATGTTATTTATTTTATTTTATTTTTTTGAGACAGAGTCTCACTGTGTTGCCCGGGCTAGAGTGCTGTGGCGTCATCCTAGCTCACAGCAACCTCAAAC